TACAGCCTTATTTCCCCTACTCAGTGAAGGGTGGATGTGAGTTGTTGTATGGAACATTACAGTCTGAAAAGAAGCTGCACTGAAAGCCATACAGATCCAGAATGCCCCAGTACTCCCAGAGGCAGTAAAGACAGCCTTTTCTTAAACATTTAAAAAATATTAAGGGGAAAGTCAATTTAAAATGGAACATTTTTGTAGCTAAAGGGAAGGTGGCATTATATATCTGGGGTACATAAACCCAATACTGCTTAAGATGTGCGGTATACATTGAGTTCTGCTTTTTAAAGTTAGAATGTTATACTCTCTGCTCCTTTCTCTTATTCCAGGGATGTCAAACTCACATGGGGCCTTGGGCCAGATCTGGACCATAGGACTTCTCCCAGCCAGATCTGGCATGGGGCATGGGGTGGTGGCAGTGCAGTGACAACAGTCACCATGGTGGTGACCATTACCATAGCAGTAGGGCAGGTAGCTGTGGGCAAGGCAGCCACTTGCTGTGGCAGAGGTGCACAAGCAGTGGCAGGTCAGGTGGCTACGGGGAAGCTGAAGGTTGAGTTGCAGTCATCAATCGGGTCATGTTCATCAGGGTTCTAGGTTCTTTGGCAGCCCATGCCCACTGATGGCCATGTCCACTGGTGGTCACATCCCCAAATTCCCTGGCTTGCTGGTAGCTGGGTGGGCTGGATGGAGTGCTTGTTGGGCCAGATGTTTGACATCCCCACCTTACTCTAATTGTTTAAAATCCTTTCCTATCCTTGCTCCACTTCTCACTTTTAACTCTTCAGCAGTGTGCTTTAGGAATAGGGTGACCATATGTCCCAGTTTGCCTGGGACACTTCCGAATCCCCTAAGCTGGTCCCAGTCAGTTGGTCAAAAGTCCTGGGCCGGAGTTCGGTGGGGATCCAGAGTGACATGGTGCACCAGGCAGGGAGCCAGGCAGGCACTGGTGCTGCTGTGTGGGAGTAAGGACGTGCTACATGCAGGTGGGGTGGTGCTTGCTCCACTCTGACCACCTTGCTCCCACACAGTAGCAGCCATGCCTGCCCTCCCACCTTCTTGGCA